TGCACTGCCTTTTGGCGCTGCCTTCGCTCGCTCTCGCTGTGTGTTTGCCAAGGACATTAATTGCCGAAAAGAACTTTGTCTTGCGGCGTTGCGCAGCAAAAGTCGCCTCAAATGTCCTTTTAATGAATTGGCAGCTATCCTTTACAGCATTTGCCCCGTTTGCTCAGTTGCAGCACGAGAGCCTGCACGAAAAGCCTCCAATAAATCGCATTGACAAAGCATAAAGACAGCCAGATTTTGGCGACTTAAGTCCAATTAGGTAGAGTTGATGAAGCTACAAAATGCATTTATAGATTTTGCCATGCCTGAAAGTTTAGTTGAGCGAGAAGAGTTTGAGATCCGCTGCAGAGATGAGAGCTGAGAACTGGGTCTTGTGCTGGGCAGGGGAAGGGATGGAAGGAACATGTAAATTCATTAAGAGCAGAAAGTCAATATGTGGATCGAAAGGATTCGCTAAAGCTTGGATCAAATAGATTGAAGAAATCTTTGGCATAAGCCTATAATATCCTGTGGAGATTAGTTACATAATAGAAAAATGTTATATTGTTAACTACATATATAAATACCAAGTTTTAACATATGATTCAATAAATCCCACATAAAACCTATATAAAATATTGTCCTAATACATTTAGTCTAACTTTTCTAACAACCTCTTGTCGAACTCGACTTAATTGCAGCTCTCTTTCAGTTTTACTTAATTATGCTAACATTAAACGAGATTTATTTGCCATTAAACATTATTATGGCATCAAGTATGACAAAGTTTTGCGTAAAGCACGATTTATGCAACGCAAGTACCAGCAAATACTTGAGCAAAGAAAATTATGCGGTATGTATTTTATTTTTCTCTCTTTCAGGTCTTTTTATTTTGTGTGTGTGTGTGTTTTTTGTTTTTTAGCAAAAGGCTGGCTGGCCACAGGACGGACCGCGAGTTGCGGCGCAGTTAGCTATGTAAATGTTTTCGCAGCTGTTTATGTATTTACTTTTAATGCCACTCGAAATGGCGGCTGCCGCTGTGTCTACCTCGGCAGCCAACCGCGCGCCGAGAATGCTAACAATTTTAATTAATGGATAAAGTTCTGTGGAATTCCAGCTACAGCTACAGCTCCGACCTCGGCTCCAGCTTCACTTGTAACCAAGTGTTTGCCAGTGGTCGGCAGCTGGTTTTTAGTTTTTCGGGGGTTGTTGCAGAGCAGCATCTATTTATGCATTCTACCAACCCGATTCGTGGCCATTCAAAAGCATTGCTGGCCAAAGGAACTCGGAGAATTCTCTTTGTATTGGTGGCGAAAGAAACAACATATTTTATTTTAGTTGTGTAATAAAATATATTTAAATAAATATAAATACATTTTAAAAAAATATTTGTTTCGAAATTTAATTTTTACAACATATTTCAGCTAAAATAAAATAAATATCGTCTAAAACGATCGTCAAATGCAGTTCATCCAAATTTTATTGCATACCTTCAGGCGGCAGCAGAAAATATTTATTTTTTCACCAACCACCAACCAATTTGCATAATTTTAGTTTTTGCTGCATACTTTTGTGCTGCGATTTTTACTCGCTGCAGGTAAGAAAAAAATCCTTTTGAAAAATAGCTCTTATTCAGCTATATCCTCACGCAGGACGAAAGCAATTGGGTTTTTAGACTCGCAAGGAGCAGCGTCAACGATTGCCTGCAAAAGATAAGTATGTCATCTAAGAACCGAGGACTTGTAATATTTCAGTCCCAATGCTAATAGCAGAAGAAATCCTGTATAACTTGTACCCTAAAAGGACGATCTGTAGGTCCTTTAGCTATTTAATACTCCTTGACATTATTCACTATGGGACATCCCACACGACAGGATCTGCAAGGATGCGACTGAGTTTTGTCGATTTGATCTACCAACAAAGTCCTTTGATCCTTAGATGACCCCATAATATTTTGGTGTATATCAATGTATATGATCCTTTCGATGTCAACGCAACGAGTCTTGTCAAAATCGGCAAGGATATGACCAAGTTAGAGTTATTTTTTCATATCAGGACATTCTTTGCATAGCCATAACTCAGCCATATCCTTGACGATCCTGCAAGGATATACCTTTCTGAGCTCGTGAGCTCATCATCTATCGATTGGCATTCAAGGATTTTGAGGATTCCATAAAAAATTTTACTTCAAATTTTTGCAAGGGGTTTGGTCGAAAAATGGCCAACAGCCACCTTAACTTGGCCGTTTGAAGGACTAGCAACTTGTGTTTTCTACCATAGAAAGTCCTTAGTCCACTGATGACGCATATGAAACTAGAAGGACGAAATTCCTTTTAACAACGGAGAAATAGAGACTTATTTGTGCAGAAAAAACTGTCTCTAGCTCAGCCGTATCCTGGCGTATCCTGGCAAATTTGACATCAAACTAAATGGGGTCACCAGGACTACCAACTGGCCAAGTGACATTAAAATCGTCCTGCTGGTTAAGGAGTTATTGGCGTTTTAGCGTGTTTTGGGCGATTTCCTTAGCTGTCGAGGCCGCTCGGCAAGTCAAGTCCTGGATCCTTAGATAACCCCCCTATATTTTGATGAGGATCGGTGCGCAGGACTCACACGATCCTAACTCTTCATGTCTTTTCGTCCTGCGCAAGGATATGGTGGAGTTATGCCCTAAAAACTAAGACGTGATTTGTTAGTGAAATTTAAAAAAACGTTGCATACCCAAAGGGGCAGCCGAAGCTAAAAACTCAATTTGCAGAGAAATTTGGCTGATGTAACAGGCGAACAGAAATGGATGCAAGTGATCGCAATTTAGGGTATAAAAATTCTAATAGCATAAGCACATGGGCATTTGAGCGGTTAATTTTAAAGCTAGATTTCAAAAGCAAAAAATAAAACGGGTGTTATTTTTTAAGCCATTTTCTTCACTAATAAAGAAAATAAAACTTTATATATGGTATTTTCAAGCTAATCTTATTCAATGGAGGAAATTTATGAATTGCCTTTGGTAGTTCTTGAATGTTTTTCTACTCGAAACTTAAGGCCATATACATGGCTATAAATGGAAAAAAGCTTTAGCTCAGCTAAATGCTGATTAGATATTGCTAAATTATGCTATTATGCTATCATAAATACCTATATCACATATATCGCTAAATCAGTTACTTATGTAATAGCTAAAAAATGACCCGATAAGCGCTTTGAGACAGCATTGCTCCGTTTTAATATTCATAAATAAAAGCCCAGTTAATATGCGCTGTGCTCATAAATTGTGTGTTGCCATTTGGTTAGCTACATTTGCCAAACGCCCACTGCTGCTGCCTGCCTCCTGCTTGTCTGCTGCTCTTGCCTTAGCCTCGCATTTTTAATTTAAAAGTTTGCGATAACAAATGATGCACAGCCTCCACATACACACCCACACACGCACCTACACCCACACTCACGCACACCCAGCCGCCCATTTGCCCATTCAGATATGTACTTAAAATAAGAAATAATGTTGACTGCTGATTTAGGAGCTGGCCCGCACAGTGTTCACTCACATGCATACACCTATAGCTATCTATAGCAGCATATGTGCGTGTGTGTGTGTGTGTGTGTGTGTCTTGGTCGAAAAGAAATGTAAAAAGAAATGAAGCAAACTTTGGTGCTAATAAATTGTTTCATATCTCGCTGAAGGCAACGCTAATATACTACGCCACCGCAGATAACTCATACGCCGCGTAGCCAGCAGGAGCAGCAATCGCGGTGGCAGCAGCAGGAGGCGTTTCGTTTTTCTTTTCTCTTCATTCATATATGCATATTTATTTCCCCATTGCTTATCAGCGACTAACACAAAAAAAAGAAACGAAGGGAATGAAAGAAATAAAGCAAAGCAAGTCCTGCAGCACATGAAAAATTGCCAAACACATTAGCCGCCGAGCAGACGCAGCAGCAGCAGCAGCAGGCGGCAGCCAATGAAGGCGCTCACATAAGTGCACATGAGTCTGGCCTTGCGTTCCTCTTTTTCCATTCACATGTAAGCGGAAATTATAATAAATATTGCTCTTAAAATAGTATTTTGTAATGGAAGTGATAGCAGTTATATAAGTAGTTAGTTTGCCTGGAAATGAAACTTATGTGCATTTCTTTTATTAACCGTTTAAGCAATGAGTGCATTAGGTTTGTTGGCAACACCAAGTTGGCTAGTGAATGTTGTTAGCAATACCTTAGAGAACATAGAAATATATATCTGAAAACGTAATATACTTTGTTTTTATATAAGAAGACCACGAAAGTTTTGAGGCATATTTTTCTGTTGATTGATATATCTATCAGATATATATTAGAGCATATAAAATATACCTAATGTCCACATCAAAATCTATATATTAATCTACCCATATCATACACCTCTTTATGCCCTTTCCTCCCCCCTTTACCCTTTCCATTGATAACACAACGAGTTTAGCTCAAAAATTATGACATTTAAAATTGTATTTATTTAATTATTTAATAATTGCTGGGAATACATATTATAATATAGTGTATGTATATGTATGTGTTTGTGTCTGTGTGTGTGTGTGTCTGTTTTTATGCTTTCAATAAATTACAAGTAAATTTAGTTGGGCTTTTATTTATTATAATTATTATTATTATTATTTCTGTTTTTTTTTTTCGTATATTTTTTGTGGCTTTTGTATGCTTATGGATCTAGTGGAACAATTCATATTAAACACGTTTCAAGTGTGGCTATAAATGTGAATCTACGTTGTTTTTTTTTATTTTTTGTTTAAGTTGTTAAATTTGAAATTAATTGCAGCGGCATTTTCCGCCGAAAATGTAATGCCTTTTTCAGGTATTAAATACCAAGATATACAGAAATGTTTTAGATTAATTTAATTCTTTTCATTTTTTTTTAAATTTTATTTTTTGTTGTTGTCTTCATAGATATGTGCTAAGCTGGAAAACGTACAAGAAAATAAGGCGAAAACTAAATGATATTCTAAAAAGAAACAAGAAATTCCCAATGCTATAGTTTAGTTATACATATATATATATAAGATATGTGAATATATATATATGTATAGCATACATATTTACACATGAAATTGGCTCTCTTTGGTTACACTCCTAACTTTGCAAATTGTTTGAATAGTTCAACTTATTTCGATATATTTTATATTTAGAGTGTTATATATGTAGTTATATATATATATAGGTATATATAATTAGATATTTGATTAGTTCATGATGCTACGAGCTACAAAACGTTTGCCTTTGCTTTTCTGCGATAAATTAAAGTAAGTTTAGATCAGCTAATTTTAATTTTTAACTAAGTTTCCTTTACGTCTGCTCTTGGCTAATTCTGTTTTGCTTACTGGGCCTGGTTACTGGGTCTAGGTAATAGCTCTGGCTATAATACTTTGAAGAGACATTGCTTAACTAGATAGTCTAAGGGAATTCAACTTGCTTTATGCTCAATTTGTCAATTTGTCAATTCGTCAATTTGTCATAGCTGCATAGGAGTTAAGTCTAAGTGAATATTTGTTTTAATATATACATGTAGGGGATAGTCGGGAGGGATGGGGTAGAGAGACGTTTAGTCGCGCTCCTCGTACTTGGGCACAAAGGAGCCGAGGCCGCCCAGCTGCCCGCATTGGCTGTTATCATAGAGCGACATCTTGAGCCGCTTGCACTTGGCTCGCCGATTCTTGAACCAGAACTGCACATTCTTGCTCTCCAGCCGTGGAAACTTTTGACTGCAAAGAGAGAGCAGAGAAAAAAGAGAGAAATTGTAGTAGAGTTAATTTAATTCGCCTCTCTCGCTCGCTCTCTCTCTTGTTCTCTTTCCACTTACCGATAGGGCATCGTGTTCAGATCCTCGGTGTATTTGAGTATCAGATTGTGCGAGGGATGCGTGTTCATGGCGAACCACTGCTCCAGCTTGGGCACCTCGGTCACTGGGTCGATGAAGGTGCGATTGCGCTTGCGGCGCTCCTCGTTCGAAATGCTCGACAAGTTGAGTCCGGCGCCGCCCATCAGGGCGTTCGGCTGCAGTCCAGCCGCTGCCGCCGCAGCCGCCGCATGATGGGCATGCGGATGGGCGGCGGCTGCCTGGCCAAAGGCCGGTATATAGTGGCTCATGTACATGAAGGATTGCGAGAACATCGAGTTGGGCACCATGGGGAAGGGCAGCTGGTCCTTGTGTGGCGTCACGCTGCCCGCCAGATCCGGCGAGGGCGAGCGAAACTCATCCAGGTGACTTGTGTCCTGCTCATTCTCATCGTCATCCTCGTCCATGTCCAGCTCATCGTCCTCTTCCTTGGGCGTGCTGCGCTTGGTTGGGCTGCCGCCCGACTCCTGCTCGTTGTTGTTGTCGCTGTTGTTGTTGCTGTTGCTGCTGTTGTTGTTATTGTTGTTGCTGTTATTGTTGTTGTTGTTGCTGCTGGTGTTGTTGCTGTTGTTGCTGGCCGCAGCGCTGGCCTCCTCATTGCCAGCAGTCTCAGCCAGGCCGCTGGCATTGGCGTTGGAGTTGGAATTGTCCTGGTCGGGCAGCTCGGCAGCATCGCTCGCCTTTAGCACAATGGGCTTCTCGTCGTGCTCCTCGACGCCATTGACCACATCGCTGTTGACGCTCTTCGAGCGCTGCTGCTGCTGTTGTTGCTGCTGTTGTTGCTGCTGCTGCTGCTGCTCCTCGTCGTCGTCCTCCTCGAGCATGGGCGAGCCGCGATGTCGCTCGTGTGTGGTTAGGGAGAGCGGCAGCTGCGGCGTGCTCGGCCTGCTGGGCTCCTCCTCCAGCTCGTCCGAGTGCTGCGACATGGTGTCAATGTCCTCGGACTTCAGGCTCATCGGACTCTTGAGATAGTCGTGCGACATGGACAGATTGCCCATGCTCAGCGGCTGGCTGCCGGCGCTGCTGCTCGAGTTCTGACCCAGCGGCGCATGCTGACTGAGGTAGCCATTCATGGCCGCATGGCCCAGGGCGCTCATCGCGTTGCCCAAGCTGCCGCCGCGCATCTCCGCGCGCTTCTGGGCCGCACGCGCATTCTTGAACCAGTAGACCACGTTGTTGACGTCGAGCGGCTTGCGGCCGCGACGGGACTCCAGCGCGTTCAGCTGCACCACATAGGTCTGGATCTGCTGGCGCGAGGGATGCGGGTTCTCCTGGAACCACTTCTGCAGCTTGGGCAGCTCCATCTCGGGATCGAAGCTGGTGCGCATGCGCGTCTTCTGACTGGGGTACTGGCCGCCGTGCGCCGTCGCATGGTGATGATGATGCATGCCCGCGTGCATCGGATGCACCAGCATGTTGCCATGATGCCCAGCCGCCTGGGCCTGGCCCACCACCGCCGCATTGGCATGGTGCCCGGCCGCCTCGTTGGCCAGCAGCAGCGACTCGCGGCTGCTCATGGCGCCCAGCGGATTGGCAGCGGCGCCGGCCGCATGAGCCGCCGCTGCTGCAGCGGCCGCCATGGCCGTGCCCACGGGAAAGTCCATGTCGCCGGGCACGACGGGCACCGTCGACGGCGCCGACATAAACGGCAGCATCTTTGGCGTCATGGCGGACTGCGGCGAGAGCTGGTTCGACCACCACTGATCGAACTTGCGGCGCAGCTCGTCAGAGATCTCCCCGCCGGGCAGTGCGTAGGTGTTCTGATGGGAGCTGCGACAGATTTGCGAGAGCGTTACCTGCAAAGCGACAGAAACAAATGGCGACTAAGCATTAGAGACGTGACTGTACTTGAGAGGATTGTGTGTGAATTGAAAGGGAATCTATTGGAAAATCCAGGATGTGTATTTTTGGGCTAGTTGTAGATCTAATGAATCATGAATGAAGCATTCTCTGATGGAAATAAATGACGACTAAGTATGGGTGCGTAACTGTACTTGTGAGGATTGTGTGTGAATTGAAGGGGGATCTATTGGAATATCTAGGAATTCTTATGGATTTCTGGCCTAGCATAGTTCCAGATCTATTGACAAATAATAAGGATCTTTTTGTATAAAAACAAAGAGCGATAAGGATAAAAGACGTGACTGTATTTTCGGTACTTTGATGTAATTTGAAAGGAAATCTATAGCAATATCTCGCAATTCCCATAGATCTCTGGCCTGGCATAGTTCCAGATCTATTGACAAATAATAATATTCACATGGATAAAAGACGTGACTGTACTTTGGGTACTTTGGTGTAAATTGAAAATAATTCTATTGAAATATCTAGGAATTGCCATAGATTTATGGTCTACTGACAATTAAATAGGACTTTCTGACTTAGAATCAGACGACACCTAAGTATTATAGACGACGTGACGGCACTTTGGTATTTCTGTGTAACTTAAAAGGGAAATGTTTGCAAATGTTACGAAATATCTAGAAATTGCTATAGATTTATGGCCTAGCATAGCTGCAGATCTATATCACATGCTATGTCACAATTGACACAGCGATTGGACTTTCTTTGCGACGCCACGTTCGAGTCAACTGTCTGGCAACTGTCATAAAAAATCACAGTTCGCTAAGCCAGAGGCCAAGTTGGTTTGGTTTGGGGTTTTCGTTTGGTTAAGGCCCTCAAGTGGACGGGATTTACTTAGCCATAAATGTTGGCGGTGCGCGACTAACTGAACGCTGAATGCTGATACCACAAAAACTAATACTAACTGACAGAGATAGAGATAGAGATAGGGTTAGAGGGAGAGCTGGCGGCAGTTGGTGGGAGGTAGGGCGCGATAAATAGATAGTTCCTATGCGGCCGATAGGGAGCGACAACAGCTTATGCGATTAAAATTGAATTTAATGTTCAGAAATAGAAATGAATTCGTAAGTTCTTCGTTTTCCGGGCTAGCAATCACGCACATATCTATCTATCTATATATGTGTGTATGTATGTATGTATATCTGATAGGGTCTAGTTGGAGTTGGGTTTCTGTTATGCCGTATTAATGGCTCATAGACACCTCTGTCTCGACTCTACGTGCGCCTCCATATGATAGATAATGTCTGCTTGCTATCAGCTAAGGAGGCGCCCCAAATCACTTAAGCTGCACACAGCTTGGGGGAGCGTGGAGCGGGTTGTCTTGGTGTTATAGACCACTAATTGTAAATAAAAGAAGAAGCAGCAGCAGCAGAATGAGGGGGGGGGGGAGTGGAGCAATTATTAAATTGATTTTCATATCGTTTCGAAATGCGCGAAGAAGCCACGGGACAAACACACGCTATCATAGTATCTGTCTGCGAGTGTGTGTGTGTGTGTGTGTGTGTGTGTGTTTGATGGGAATTATAGGAATATATATGCTTATCATGTGATTAGAGCCAAGCGCTTTGCTAATATTAATCAGGGCCAATAAAATCAGTCGCAATATCAATTGAAGGGTATTTCGGTCGTGATTTCCGATAGTGTTATGTATATATATATATATATATATATGTATGTATGTATGTATATATAAGTCTGTGATTTATGACTGACTGTCAACAAGTTGGGGGATTTAGATGTGGGTCATGCGCTGCCTGCTGCAAACCATTTAAGACTATGATCCAACAGTTGCAACTAAGTCCTGGGGCCTAAACAATGAGCTCAACCTATCGAAGATATAATATACATGTATAAGTGTGCATATCTCTCTCTGTGTGTGTGTGTGTGTGTAGTTGTAAATTGTTTTGCGATAAGCGCAAAGCTGATTAAAAATGAAAACTATTGCAGCAAAGGATTTGTTAAGTGAACCAAAATAAATGAACTCGGCTTAACAAAACATTTCTTTGTAGTCATTATTTTCAAGCAAAATTTTGATATGCAGACACAAATACATATCTATACATATACATATATATAGTTAGACAGAGAGACAGACATGGGCTATGACTCGCTGAAGGCTGTTAAGAAAGGGCGCAAAACTTTTGTTGCCAAGGAATCACATGTATGTGTGTGCATGTGTGTGTGTGTGTGCGTGTGTGCGTGTGTACTTATGCCTCAATTCACGCAAATTAGCGGTTTGAGTTTTTGGCTGTGAAGTTTTTACTTTAAGCTGCGGCTTATGCTACGCCTAGGTAAGGGCTGGTTCGAAAAAAACTCTCTCTCTCTCTCTTTCTCTTTCCTCCCCTCTCGCATAATGGGTAAGACTAGATAAACCGCTTAGGCATCATTATAGAACTTTTGTCAACTCAAGTTAGCAGAGTTCAAAGCGAATGTCTAATTAGCTATAATATTATATTGAGAGAGTCACTATTACATGCGTCACTCACCTCGTCTAGGGGGCAGCCGGTGGAGCGGAGCAGGGCGTGTGACTGGAGTACAAGCAGCTTCAAGAGCTTGTCCTTGATCTCGCCAAAGGGCGAGGTCTTCGGCCGCAAGATGACAATGCGCAGCGTTATAACGGAGGTCAGTTCGCCAACTATGTCGCTAACCGGCACAGCCGGATTATCAGAGATCTTTTCCAAGGGTATGGGCTTCCAGTGCTTAATGATGAGAGAGCCTGCCGAAGGATAGAAAGAGAAAGAGATAGAGATAGAGAGTTAAAGTATTATTATTATTATTATTGTTTGGGTTATCTTTCATCCTTGCGGCTCACCTCGGGCTGTGTTGGCCACCTCCTGCGAGTAGCCGAGACGCTGCAGCGCTGTCTGCACTATTTCGCTCCAGGGCGTGGCCGCTGCAATGATCACATAGCTGTCCGTCTCAATGTTTGGCCGGCGCTTCCACGGCTGACGCGTGTCGATGGTGAGCGAGGCGTGCAGCGAGTGCACGGACTCAACCACGCAGTGCAATGGAAGCGATTTCGCTGAAAGAGACAGAGAGAGAGAGGGAGAGAGAGAGAGAAGTTAGAGAGAGTGACAACATATTATAGAGATAAGTCAGTTGTCTGAATAGCATATACAGATATTAACATATTTAATCTGTTGCTCAGAAAATATATTAATTATGAAATATATTCCTTATCAATTTCGGAAACTTATTAACCATAAACCAAACTCGTATCATAAGTTTATTAAAGGAAATTGAGTTAAGATTTCAATAATTATTTCATTATCAGTTCAGTTTTGTAGATAGAAATATAGACAGAGAATTGAGAAATTCCAATTGAATTTGCTGAACCAATTCATCCAATGGAATCAACAACTATATGGCTGAACACTCCAGTTCAATTTGATGAACTAGCTCATTCACTGACTGGGAAACTATAGCAATAGAGTTGAATAGTTAATTCATTAAATGTGGAACTACAATAATAATTAATAAAGTTAAAAATTTGGATAAAGTTTCAGCTCAATTTAGGGAACTAGTTAATTGATTGTTCACAAGTTCAAAATAGATTATAAATGCGAGTTGAATACATTAGCACAAAATATGAACCAAGAACAAGTTTATTGTTCCTGATGGACTTTAAATCCCTATAAATATTCATCATGTAGTTCCAATTCATTTTGTGTAGCACCCTACAATTGTGCTTCGATTCCATCAGCTTAACTGTATTAAGGTAAGCTTAGTGTGAGTCTGTATTAGCTAATAAGTAAACATACACATACATACATACAATTGGTTTCTGGTAGGAAATATACATAAATAAACCAGATGGTACTCCCCCCTTCCTCTAGCAACTAGTCAGCTCTTCGTTTACAAACGGCCACCCAGGGTAGTTTGCAGTCCATCAACTGCCATTTCACTTCTAATTACAGCCCTGTGGAGCAACTCGCACCGCTCAACTGTTGCAGCTAATCGGTTTAGTAATGCGCTGCGAACGCTTCAACTGGCGCCAAGTGCAAATCGCTCAAAATTAAAATCAGCAATTAAAACATATTTTATATATATATACAAACGTATATATACACTGCCACGCCCACAGTGCAGCCCACAAGTACTTAAATAAATGATTGCATGCTGCGGTTAGCCATAAAATGGTTTTAGCCGCTTACCCACTATCAAGCAGGATTATGAATATGAATATGAATATACACATATATCTGCATGTGTGTGTGTGTGTGTGTGCATAATGTATATATCGTAATTATTTATGAATAATGCGGTTAGCACTTGGACTTTATAGACCAATATTTTAGTTGGCCATTTGATTGGCTTTGGCTTGAGAGAATTTTTCGGGTTTCCATCAGTCAAATATTTGGCCTAAGCCCTTTTGGTCTAAATAGTTTTGGGCAACAACTATTTCGCCGCGACCAATTATGAAGAGCTTAAAAATAATTTACCAAAAATGTTTGCCAATAGCAAATGCAAATGCAAATACGCCCCACATGCCACATGCCCCATGCCGCATGCCCCAATCCAAAGCTGGCAAATGCATGCCGAGTTGGGACTGCGTGAGGTGAGGTGGGCATAGATGCTGTAGGGGTCTGGCTCTGGCTCTGGAAATCAACTGCAAATAGGCTTAACGCCCTCTGCTGCTACCTCTGCCTCTGCCACTCCCCTCTGCTGCTGCTGCCTCTGCTGCTGCTGCCATAATGGTATTATTAATTATTCCAATTATAAAAATTGTAAGCAGCGCAGATTGTTGGCCGATTGGCATTTGGGCAGGTTTTAAAACAGCGAAAAGAACGCGTCGACCGAAAGTTTTACTGCCACAATTATGAGCGATTTTCACTATAAATAAATATATATATTTATGTCTGTATGTATGTATGTAAGGCTTGTGTGCGCCTGCAAATCTTTTAATTGCCATAAAATCCTCATTGGGCATTAAAAATAAATATATCAATTGTATGAGCATATTCGCAAAAATCAACCATGATATATATTTAATTT